AATAATTTGGAAGTGCACGCGGTGGTATATATATTTCTTCTTACTCTTTATGTAATTGAATCGTCCTGTGTGTTATATCGATCGAAACTTCCCTTACACGTTCCATTGCAACAGTGTAGAAAGTAATGAGCGTTTAGGGCAGTATAAAGTATGTCCAAAGGAAGTTAAGGTAAGAATATAGCGGTGATAATCTCCGCCGATTCTCTCGAAGAACGTCTCTCCTTTTTTTCCCCCCCTCCTTTTATCTGCCGTCGTTCTCAACTATTCGTTTATCGTCTTCCTCCCATTGCTCACCATCCTATCTCCCATCCTGTCTCTCGTCGTTTCTTCGTTCCTCGGCCAACGGTGAAATTCTCTGCATTTCCACAATCTCCAAGTTTTCATGCCTTCTTCCGAATATCCGCGTCGCCTCCACGAGGACTTTGGTCTAATGAGACTTCTCCAATGTCGCCATCGAGATAGACGCACGGATTATACGTACGTAAACCCGTCTCTAAACCCGCCTCGTGTACATGGCTCTATATAAAGCTGCAGGTTATGTAGCGATGAAACACCCAGGCACACGGGGACAAGTGTTTCGCAGACATCCGCGTCCAAGGTTCGCGTACGTTTCTCTGGAAATTCGTCGACGATATTCTTGCCGACGTGTCCTCGCCTTTCCATGTCATTTTCAACTCGCCCATCGTTCCCCCTGCATTTACGTGGCCAATTCTCCCATCGATACAAGCAATACACTTTACTTACATTTCCGCCGACGACGAATAAAAATTTCGCGAACGAAAACCATTCGTGATGAGGGAACTTTGAACAAGTAATTACAGTTTTCCAATCGTCATAGGAAAATTTGTCTCTCTTTGGGATCATTCTCGAGTAAGTGCAAAGGGGATAGAATTGAATGATACACGAGTCACAGGAATATTCCCTCCAATTGCCAATATCGAGCATGATGTATACATGTTGGAACGGTTAACATTCTCATTGACGAAAATTTGATAAACTTGTATTATAAAGAAATACAAATCATTTGAAGTTGTTCTATGACTGGTTAAACAAAGAAATCAAAACGAAAGATCATGCTTCGCATGTAGAATATCAACATTTCCGGAAATTTCGCGCAATTTGTCAATGTGGAAAATACTGGTTCGATGACGAGTATTGTAAAATCGGTTGGCGAAGCTACAGTTAACAATATTCTGGGAATGTCAGCAAAGGAGAAAAGAAAAGAAAAAAAAAAGAAAAAAAAAGGTAAAATCACGGAGGTGATCGAGAAAATACGACTCGAAAGTATCGTCAATTCATGGCATCATTTCAGGACGCCAACGTTGCAACAAGTTGTACATCCTTAAAAATAATCGGGGGGAATACGGATGAAAATAGTGATCAACAGCTGGCCCGAGGCCTTCCTGTACCAAGCATAAATGCCGAACATCGCGACTGCCGAGCCAATCGACCGCGAATAAGCATAAAGAATCCTCTTTACGATATCGCCGCCTGCATTTTCAAACGTTCGACTCTGGTCGAGACCAGTGCTTGAGACCAGCTGGCCCAGACAGTTAATTGAAAAGTCCTAGATGCTGAACAACGACTTCAACTTACAAGTTGTGTACGTGGAACCTTTGAATCTCCTATGGTTGGTGATTCCGTTTACTATTAGCCGACAGCTCGAGGAAGAGCACTATTACTGGTGCAGCTCGATAAAAGCAATACTAAATAATCCTCGAAGTGATGCTGGTTGAAGCGGAGGACACAGTCCGTCAGGCTTGCCCGCGTTATTTTCGCTTTAGCTCGTTGAGAAGTTGGTATTAAATAATTCGGAAGGAGAAACTCGTAGAATGGTCAGGGGGGTATTTTCAGCCTCACAATAAGATTCGAGTTGGCTAAGAGTCGTCGCGGGACAAAATATGAGGCGTGTATATATCTCTCGAGTAATAAGCAAAAAATAACAGGACGCAAATAACGAATACATACCTACATCACCATTTTGTTTTTTTTTTCTTTTTCTTTTTAAATTATTTGATTTTTCGTTCTCTATATGTTCTCACGTCTATAGTCTTATTCAAATAATCATATATCATTAGATTATAAATGAGCATGGTAATTTAAGTACATTAGATGACTAAAATTTAAAATATTTGACTTTATTTTATATTCGAGGTTTTCGATGTAATAATAGAAATCAAATTGAAGGTTCTGAATTAAATTTAAATTCTTTGAACTTAAATTCTCCAACTTTTCATCACCATAGAGTCTTTTCAGCTATTTAAACGAATCCTTTCACTCGTTGTACGTGGATCATGA